CCCGCGAGAAAACGTGGAAGCTCGGACAATTCTGCACCCCAGGTTTCTTAAAGAAGTTTTACGTAAGCAGTTTACAACTTTCGAAAAGCTACACACATTGTTTCTGAAAAGTTTCCAGGAATTTTCTTACCTACATGATTTCAAATGGATCGACGGCAGGGCCGGATTTACCTACTTGCCGCCCGTGGGCCGCCTGTATTTTGCCGCCCCTTCTCATTCGTTTTGAAACATCAATAAAAACCATCAAATGAACGTGCCAGCGGGGGAGGGGTGCATAAGAAACGTTTACTTGTGTTGAATACATTTTTTGGGAAAGCCCTGTCAAAACTACTAGCAAAAGTTCACGGAACTTTGCGCGAAAAAAAGTATCGTAAACCTATCTTTGTGTGGACAAGGCCTTCCATTCATAAGAAATGAACGAACAAATTATGAAAGAACAAACATAAATGTGGATTAAGTAATGATTTTAACTTCCGCCGCCGCGTCGCGCAAACCGCACCGTGTTTGGCGCAATGCGTGAAGTATTTCGACAGTCTTGTAGGCGCTATGAGTTTCACGCCGACCGATGCTGAACGGACTGTGCTTGACGCAATGCGTGAAGTATTCACGCAGTCTTGTAGGCGTTATGCGTTCACGCTGATCGCACTGTGTTTGCCGCAATGCGTGAAGTATTTGTGCAGTCATGTTAGGGGTAATACATTACATATGTGTTATATGCCGATCGCCTTGCCGAGGGCTTCTCCTTTTCATCTCAAATCCTCGTCAACGTTTCTCTCTAAGTTGCGCCGTTCCAGGCCAAATTGCGTGTTTGGTTTCTCTTTTAACTCGACTAATTAAAGGTGCTGTCTCTTGTATCAATGAAAGACGACAAAAGTAGAAATTACTACACTCTCAGAAAATTAGAGATTTTGTCGCCTTTTCTCGTTTGTAATTTTTTTTCTAAATTCGAATTTTCTGTACCTACATCTAAAAAAATTTCTAAATTTGCCGCCCCCTGTCGATTTGCCGCCATGGGCCGCGGCCCATATGGCCGTCCCCTTAATCCAGCCTTGAACGACGGGATATTTTCGTTCGTTCTATGGTCCTTTTTTTTTTTTTTTTTTAACAAAAATTTTTGAACATGGGCCGAGTTTCTGAATCCTTCAAATTCACATACATATTTTCCTTAAATCATCGTAAAAATGGGAAAGAGATTCAAGTAACATAATGCGTAGTCCTAGTTTTGCGGCACCGCTTACTGCGCCGCGCTCGCCAGGGTAGCGTGGTCGAGTCATCGTCACAGTGGGAAGCGCCTTCAATCCAGCTAGCCGCAATATGCTTACACCCGTGGTCAAATAGTTATCTCGTCACGCCTGCCAAGAGTGAACTCAAATACCGATGGCGGCACGCTAAAAAAAGCATATTCATCGCCGATAGCAACGTTGTACACCTAATCTCGTGTATTATTTTCGATAAGTTTACTTCCGAAAAGCTACACAGTTTTTCTCAAATTTTCTGAGAATTTTCCTGAATCGTTTCGAATACACCTAAATTACAGAAAATTCCGAGGCAATATTTTAGTAAGAAATTTTTTCTGGTCCGAGTTTCTGAAACGCTGAAATTACCCCATATATACCTCTTTCCTCAAATTATGATGGGAACTGGAAGAGAAACAAGAATAATGACGCATGGTTAGGAAACTTAGGATAAATCCTACGGAATTTTACGTACCCCTGCTAAATTTACCAGGATTCCAAGTTTAGGAGGCCGTCTAGAGAAGAAACAACACTACTTCTCTAACAAACCTTTTTTATGGAGAGACCATGAGAAGGGGCATGGGGGGGAGGGAGGAGCGTAAAATTCAGAACAAGTGCCCGACGTTATTTATGGGCGACCCTTTCGGACATTGCTTCAAAAAATGAAGATGAAAGTTTTATGGGAACTCAGGTGCATCTCTTTTGATGCATTTATCAAGAGTACCTACCCTAGAACAAGCAGGCGCTTGGCATGTAAAAAAAATAAATAAAGAATAAAAACCCTGTTGCCCACCAATCGGGAAGCGGATACCTCGGCGGAGAGATTCGACGGTAAACCGATGAGCAACGAAAGGTCATACTTGACCCGAGAGAAAGTGAAGCTGGATCTCGAGTCAAGGTAAGCAGTAAAGAGATAGCGTCATAAATTGATGACGCAAGTCAAAATCCTCCTCCTAAAGTTTGTTTCCGCGTATTCTGTACCTAAACTAAATAAGAAAAGCCCTTGAAGGAGAAAACGGAATAAAGCGAAGAGTCGCTGGGTGAGATTCATACTTCCAAGATTTTAAGTACCCTGGGGTGTGTTGCACTAAATGCGTGATCCTGAGTTATGACAATCTTAAGTTCAAAATTTCGATCGAAAAACGCTCTCTCAGCTTCAATCCTTCTGGGTCCAATTTCATCACCCAGGTACTTAAAGTTGTCAGAAAGTAGCGAAAAGGAAATGATATCCTGTGGTTTTTTCAGATCTTTTCTGCTGATAATCTGATTCAGTGTGGCTACGTCACTCGTTGCACAAAACTTTGCAAGCAAGGTTTGTCAGATAAGTAGTGTTGTGTTTTCTCTAGGCGGCCTCCTAAACTTGGAATCCTGGTAAACTTTAGCAGGGGTGCGTGAAATTCCGTAGGATTTATCCTAAGTTTTCTAACCATGCGTCATTATTCTTGTTTCTCTTCCAGTTTCCATCATAATTTGAGGGAAGGTGTAGGTATATATTGAGTAATTGCAGCGTTACAGAAACTCGGACCAGAAAAAATTTCTTACCTACTAAAATTTTGCCTCGGAATTTTCTGTGATTTAGGTATATTCGAAACGATTCAGGAAAATTCGCAGAAAATTTAAGAAAAACTGAGTAACTTGTCGTAAATAAACTTATAAAAAACAATACACGAGAAGAGGTGTACACGTACAAACGTACTTAGCTATCGGAGATGAATATGCTTTTTTTCGCGTGCCGTCATCGGTATTTGAGTTCACTCTCGGCAGGCGTAACGAGATAACTATTTGACCACGGGTGTAAGCACATTGCGGCTAGCTGAATTGAAGGCGCTTCACACTGTGATGATGACTCGACCACGCTACCCTGGCGAGCGTGGCGCAGTAAGCGGTGCTGCAAAACTCCTTTGCAGTGTTTCAAAGTGTCTGCTTCTATTTTATGTCTTCAGGGAAAAACAAGACAGCTTCATAACTTGAAATTTTTGCAGAATATTCCGCCACTGAAGGAGATAAATCAAGGAGGTTTTTGAGGAATTACGTCGACTAGTTTTCCATGGAAACACTATAAAGTACTTAGGTAGGACAGGAAGTCTGTAATGTCGCAAATGGAGATGTGTGGTTTGCACTTTGGCTATTGATATTCTTACTGTAATGAAATAGAATCAAAGATTCTGTTACAAGAGCGCAATTTCTGTAATTCAATTCTAGAGGTGCAAAATTTTGTCTGAAGTAAGCTAGCTAAGGTCAGCTTTTTTTGTGATATATGTCTATTGTGCGTTTAAGTATTTTAAGAGAAAGTTTGGTTATAAGATTAGAGAGTCCTAGATTTTTGGAGTCAGGCATGAGCGGAACTAGGGGCTCGTAACCCCCCTCCCCGCATTTTTGCCGCTGAAGCCAAGAGTGACCCTCGTTTTCTTCCAAAACCTTCATTCCCAAAAGAAGGGATTTTTTTGTGGAAAATCCATGTTTCAAAAATGAGGTAATTTTGAAAGAAAATGAGAGTCGTTTTCGGTTTCAGCGGCAATGCAGTACCACGGTCTCTAGATCAACGCATGAAATTCGATTGGAAGAAGTATTTTGACACATTCAACCACATCGGTGTTGATACAGCGAAATTATTTATCAATTCGAGTAAAAATGATCAATGAACCCCTACATGGAAACCTAGCCGACGTAATTCCTCAAAATCCTCCTTGATTTATCTTCTTCAGTGGCGGAATATTCTGCAAAAATTGCAAGTTATAAAGCTGTCTTGTTTTTACCTTAAGACATAAAATAGGAGCAGACATTTTGAAACACTGCAAAAGAGATACAAAGTTTGGCACATTAGCGATTGATATGCATTACGTAGGTTCACGTGACTTATCATTAAAAAATTTCAAATGGAGTCACATCCCTCCATTACATATTGAAGTCAGAGGCAAATCCAGCAGGTTAGCGATACTGGTTTTTCTTCATTTCAACCTGCGTTGAATAATCGATTCTCAATGGAGGAGCATCTCGTTCCTCCAAAAATTGAATTAATAAGAAAGCACGCATCGTGTGGTTGAATTAAATACACATTGGATTACACAGTGACTCGCTTTCAGGTTGGAAATTCAAAGAAAACCAACTGATCAACATGCAAGTTAATACAAGGTTCCCAATCAGGGGGTGATCATGAACCTACAGGGAATTTCTTTCATAGAACAGTGGATCTCCCGATGGAAGTCAATCCATCCTACATAAAAGTTTCGTTTATATGCGAAAACGCAGAAGATTGTGACGGAATGCCATGGAACGCATAACTTTATTATCCCAGTCCACTGGTGCCGTCCAGCCTGTTCCATACGTTCCAGTGGAATGCTTGGATCCTTCTTCCAAGTTGAGTTATGAGAGGTTACATGCAATCCTAAGGGCTTTATTTTATCTGAACCACAGAGGATCGGTGCGGAACGCATCACTTTTTAATCCCGTTCCACAGGCGCGTTCCACCCGTTCCAGTGGAACACTTGGACCGCTCTTCCAAGGTGGGTTGACACTGCTGTTAAGCCAGTTGAACCGGCCCAGACCGCAAAGATCCCTCTTGTTCCATGCGTTCGACGGATTGAAAAAAAGCCCTCTACCTTATACATGAGAAACATCTGCGTGATGGAATAGTGAGAGAGCAGCTCCCCTGAGAGAGCTCTTCCCCGATTCTGACGGAGGGTTATTGGTTCAGAGATCCTGAGTAAATTGATGCAAGTTTTTATTCTACACGATAACAGCAAAATGTAGGTGTTGTTTACATACCAGAAGCATAGGGCAACATATCCAACAGCAGTAGAAGATCAGATTAATCACAACACAGAAATTGGAATTTGCCACCGAATTCCTATGGCCACCAATAAATTTTCTTATTGAACTTCCGTTAATCTAATCCAAATGCATCCGAATTAATATGGGTGACACAGGCACTTAACGTAAAACAAAACAAAATCAATGAAAGCTACTCAAATCGAAGGCTGATGGAACTCATGCCACACTCAAAACAACCTGTTGCAATACGCGAAGAGTACGCGGGACGCGGCTTGGTAAATGCGTTTAGGAACTGAGTTCGAAACTTCGGAAGGCTCGAGACTCTGAACTTGATTGGTTTAAAGTTTAACTTAAATCGACGCAACCGCAGTAGACTTCAACCGCTGAAAATGTAAAATAAGCTCAAATTCGAGGAGTAGACGAACGACGCGCGTAGGTTCCCCACGGCGACCGATCTCAAACTGACATTTTTCGGAGAATGTAAAATCTCAAGAGGTAGTGAGGTAAGTAGTAACATGAAGCAAGAACAGTCTACGTCACAACTGATCACGAGTGTAATACAATATCGTGGCGAAGCTGGGTCCTGCGTAGCGGAAAGCATAGCCTCCATCTTTTGCCCTCACTCTCATTGGCTGATGCCGAAACGACATACAACGACTAATTTCTCGTTGTCCATTATTATCAGAGACAAATAGAGACCGAGCACGTTGGGTTTTCAGTGAGGCACATCTAATTCTCGGGGATCCAACGGAACAACAGTCATGTATTTTCTGATTTCGCCTAAAGTTGACTGATGCTACTCGGCTGTTGGCATTATTGCGGCTTGTTTACATTCTTCCTAATCAATTGCAAAGCGGAAAATTTTCCAATTTTTCATTTGAAACTCTTCCAAATTGTCATAAAATGACCTATTAGAAGGTATAACATTAATTCGCCCCTTTTAATCAACATTTGTGATACTTTCGGTGGTTTCACCTTATGTAGTGAGAAGCAGATTCCTCGAGACTCTGAGCCTGGTCCGCAGATTGTTCAACTTCATAATGGATAATTTTAGTTATCGAACTTTCTTTTGACTTTAAATGGTATATAATTTTTTCTAGACAGTATCAATACCTTGTGATCAAATTCTCAATTCCATTAACCTCCATATCATGTCGCAGGATAGAGATATTTTAGCTATTTGAGATCTGTCAAGAACCTGATCACAGCAGCACTGCCAGTCTTACAGATACACTGTATTGAAATTTGACGAAAAAAAATTTACTGTCTGTCATAAGCTGCTCACTATGATAAGTATTAATCGTGGATCAAATGCTTGATGTCTCCAACATCCTATCTCTAAGCCTGATGTAGTGCGTTGAAAGCGGAGTGTTATGGCTGCAAAGCGTCGATATTTGTTGTTAAGGAGGCGTGTAAATGAAACGTTTGGATAAGCTCGCAAGCTGTACGAATTCTTTTGTGTGTGGAAAATAACTGAATGTCCAGAATTCTAAACATCTGACTGTATCTCAAGTACCTAAAAGAAATGTTGGTCAGGTCAGAGTTTGTGAATCCTTGGCAGCAGTTAATGCAATTCTTCTACATATTTAAGGCCTTCGCTCATCAAAGTTAGGTAAGTAAGAGACCGCTCAGATCCATCATATTATGCTTGTCAGTATTAGTCCATAACTCCATAGTGTAAAAATCCTTGGAGGGTGAAGTGCCCATCATCTGATGGAGTTCCTGAGATTTGTTTAAGAACTTTTCCTCCTGATTATTCTCTCAATTTTACCAGAATTGTCTCTTCCACCACCATCATAAAGTATTTCAACCTTGCATTAAATGAGAAATGATGTATACGCTATCAACTTCACCTTAGAATTCCTGAAATTGGGAGTCGTGAAACAAATAAAGTAGCTTCACCGTAAACATTTGCTAGCTTAGTTGGCAGTAAAACTCATTAATTCGGTGAAAATAAAAGTAAATGTTTTTTCTTCGCTCATTTCGATGAGGAAACACATTGAATACATATAAATTGTGATACTGGATGCAACTAATACTACTTCCTGTAAAATTGGAAAATGTGTAACTCGAAAAAAGGAAAGAGGATCTCACCAGAGTGCTCTCTTACAACTTATAGATCAAAATTCGTGATATTTCGGCCCTTAAAGGTTCTTTCATCATTCAGAAATAAAGAAACTAAATTTAAGTAGTTTGAACAGGCATCTTTCAAGAAAGAAATGTGACAGCTTATTTGCAGTTTTTAGCTTTTTCATAATGCGTCAAATCTACCTCTTGACTAGAACAGGCGAAGATTCAAACCGCGTACTACTTAATGTTGGTTTACATTTCATAATAACTAACTAACTAACTCACTTACCAAACTTTAATGAGCAAAGTTGTTAAGTACGTAGGAGAATTTCAGTAACTGCTGCCAAGGATTCACAAACTCTGACCTGACCAACATTTCCTGCAGGTACTTGAGATACGGTCAGATGTTTAGAATTCTGGACATTCAGTTATTTTTCACACACAAAAGAAATTGTACTGCTTACAGGCTTATCCAACCGTTTCATTTACACAGCTCCTTAAAGACACATATCGACTCTTCAGTCGAAATGCTCCGCATTCAATGCATTACATCAGGCTTCGGGATAGGATTTTGGAAACAGAATTATTTACAGAGAATTATCCTGAAGAAATTATACACCATTTACAGTCAAAGAACATTTCGATTGCTAAAATAATTATCCATATGGAAGTTGAACAATCTGAGGACCAGGCTGTCTCGAGGAATCTGTTTCTCACTGCAAGAAGTGAAACCACCGAAAGTATCACAAATGTTGAGTAGAAGGGGTGAATTAATTATTTACTTGGTAAAATGTCATTTTATGACAAATTCGGAGAGTTTCAAAGGAAAAATTAGAAAATTTTCCGCTTTGCAAGTGATAAGGAAGAATGTAAACAAATCGCCATATTGCCAAAAGCTCACCAGATGCGACTAGCACCAGTCAACTTTAGGCGAAATCAGAAAAATGATGACCGTTGTTCTGTTGAATCCGCGAGAATTAGATGTGCCTCACTCAAAATACATTGGCGGAATAGGGCGTGCTCGGTCTCTATTTGTCTCTGATTATTATTATGATTTGCCTCATTGCTCAGCGTAGTTGACATGTTCACCGTGGCCTTCTTCATGCGCAAATTTTTCATTCATACATTTTAAAAATTACGATATTTCTTCAAGATTCTTATTTTTCCGTTTTCGCGGATCAGCTGAAATGCCTCTGATTATTGTAAAGTGTCCTAAGCGCCGGGTGGTCTCTATACCTAATGAATTTTTCCCTCGGAAGAGATCAGTCAGGTCAGTCGGAATGAGATTTTTTCAAAAATCGATGTCCATTTTAATGTACAAACCCAGTTAAACCTCTCGATTGGAAGAAGTCAGTTGGACATTTTTTGCGCCCTTGATGAGGTTTTTTTTTTTTTTTTTTTTTTTTTTTTTTTTTTTTTAAATTCAATGCGTCCATTTTAATGGACAAAGCCAGTCAATATTACTCTCATAACCACAGACGTGGAGGGAGGATTCATTCCCTGAAACCATCCTCTCTTAAGAGGTTCGTCTTATAATTGGATATTGAACGAAAGAAATTTTAGCCATTGCTAAAAAATTGTGATTTTTTTTTTTGAATTTTCAAAAACCTCAACCATTAGCTAAGAGGAAATGACGCACTGTGTTATTGCGTCAAAATAATTCTGGTTTACAAACCTGCATTGTCCGCTTGTAGATCATGAATATAATAGCATCCTGCGGTCCAACCAGTTCGCCTTCAAAAACTGGGTAGGCAATATGAGCAACTTGAGAGCAGCAATAGTTGCTTGGTGTAGGCATTATAGGGCATGTTTTTTCGATTTTTTCAAGTCTTTCGCTGTCATCCTGTGGAGTTCGTCTTTTAGAACCCGATTTCGCGTTTTGTAGCGTCTTAAAAGAAAAACTAGTCGCATGCAGCAGTTTGAGCCTCGTTCATTCGATCTCAGTAGAAGCTACACATTAAGGCGGATTTTCTTCAGCTTTTGCGCGATGCATTCTAGGTACGAATTAACGATATAGTTCAAATTTTAACCTCAGTGTTAATTTTTTTTTTTTTTNTTTTTTTTTTTTTTTTTTTTTTTTTTTTTTTTTTTTTTTTTTTTTTTTGTGGAAAATTGAGATGATAGTCTGTAGGTAATTCATTGAGGAATGTCCGCGCTGACAAACTTTTTCCGAAATCTTAAATTGAAGTCTAAAGTTATGTTACTATTTAAAACAGATTTTAATGTATCGACATTGGTGGGTAAATAGATGATTTGAAGGTGTCTGAAATTTGATGAAATTATTGAAATTCGTGTTTAACGGAAGTGCAACGCGGAAACTACTGAGTGAAGTGAACACGAGGATTACCTTGGTTCATAAATTTAAAAATTATTGAAGGAGGTATGACAAAATTATCTAATATGCTAAAATGCGTGTGTTAAAATAGGAAATGCTGCCAGATGATGTCACTTCACTACTCATTAGGCGGTGCATTTTCTCACTTTAAAATATGTTTTAATAATGTTTCCCATATCAGAAAAAAAGTAAAAGAATACTGCGAAATCAGCTTTTTATGCACTCTCAGATGAAGCAATAAAACATTTGCGTGCAATTTCTCCATTGAGAGCGGTACTTTTGACTTTGCCTCAAGACTTCGGAGGATGAGGTGAAAGCTTCTCACAAAAAATTCTGATTGAAAGATAAATTTTTCCGTAAAGTGCAAGTTTCTAGAGAAAAATTAAACGAAAGGAAATATTGCAAAGCTTACTCAAGCGCTAACTAATTCCTAGTGTCACATTTTAACTTGCTCTCTATTGTATTTTGCGATTGTTTTGAACAGGTCGCTCCGCCCTCATAAACTTGATGAAGTAATTTGAGCGCCTTGACAGCAGCAATTATTTCTAGTGTCAGTTTCGCCTCATTCATCTGAATCGGGTAGCAGCCACATATTCATCACCACTTGAGCACAAGCCCGATGCACCGAGCCTCGGTTTAATCAGTTCGCCTTCAAAAAATTGAGTCGGCAATAATACCGACTATGGAGCGGCGATAGTTACAAAATGCAGTTGGATCATGTTGATTAGTGGCAGGCTCGGACTGGCCATAAGACCAATCTGCCATTGGGAGATACGCCCCCTTGGCGCGCCAAA